TTCAAAATTGGAATTATAACAACCTCCTTCCAGGTGAAGGGGATCACACCCGAAAACCATATGCGATTATAAAGAGAGAGGAGGGTTTCTTTAGTTTCGGAGGGTAGTTAATCAGCATCGCGTACATTACGTTGTCAGAACCTGGGGTAGATGTATTACAGCAGCTGAGTGCTGTTCGCAGTTCTGCTAAGCAGAATGGTGCATTATATGCCTCATTTCTTGGGGATTTTCTTTCTAACTTTTGTTTTTCTATTCGTGCCTTGTAATTCTGGAAGGATTCAGAGTAGTGTGAGGAGCTCGATATGTGTTCGAAATGTGTGCCAAGAAAGTTGGCTTGATCCTCCAAGCTTTCCCCGAGGCTATTAACTAGTGGAAGAGAATACGTTTGTTGGCCCTTAATTTTCTTTATCTTATTCCACACTTTTCCCTCGTCTGTGTACGAGTTGATACTCAATATAAACTTTGTCCAGCTCTCTCGTCTAGCTTGTCGGCGCGTTCGCCTTGCCTGCGATTTGACCCGCTTGAAATTTTCCAGGTTTTCTGCTGTAGGGGAATCGTGAAGCAACGCCCATGCTTTGTTCTGAGTGGTCCGTGCTTTCCTGCATGCGTCGTTCCACCATGGGACTCGCCGTTTAGAACACATGCCACTCGTTTTGGCAATACATTTAGATGCAGCATCAAGTATAAAAGCTGCAAAATATGTGACAGCGTCATCTATGGTCAGCGCAGATAGCTCAGTCCATGTCATGTGTGTAAGAGTTCTATACCTTTCCCAATCAGCTGAGTCAATCTTCCATCGAGGAACCTGCGGGGGTAGTTGATCTTTGTTCGGCGCACTCAGGATGATTGGGAAGTGATCACTCCCATAAGGGTTCTTAAAAACGTTCCACTTAAAAACAGCTAAAAGGGAGGGTGATGAAATGCTAAGATCTATGGAGGAGTATGTGTTGTTTGCAAGGCTAAAATACGTAGGCTCCTTCATATTTAAAAGACATAACCTAGAAGAGAAAATAGTTGCTCAATGAGACGTCCTCGCGCATCACAGTGAGCATCGCCCCACAGGACATTGTGTGCATTAAAATCACCTAGAACCAGAAATGGCTCTGGGAGTTCATCTATTAATGATTAATGTGTGGTGTTTTATGGCGCAAGGGCCAATTGATGGCCAAAGAGCGCCATTTCAATGAGTATAGAGATGTGGACAATGATATGTTGCGTGGCTGTATAGGGGCCTTAAAATTCCTCGCGATAATGCGGGTAAAAACATAAGTATTAAAGACTTGACAGTGACGTGATATGCATATTAAAAAGGGTGACAAAGGTTTTGATAATAAAAACATGTATAAATATTTGGCACTAGCACACTTGCCTCATCAGTGCCCTTGTGTCCAAGGGCTGCGAGGCAAGTGCTTTTAAATGTAATCACAGCAGCAGCGACGACCTCTCTTGAGAGGTCACGCTACGCAATCATCTATTAATGATTCCAGATCACGTCTGTGTAGCTCTTGATGCAGTGGTATATACACAGAACATATGGTAATGAGTTTGTTAAAAAGTACAGCTCGAATGGCCACTGCCTCCAGGGCTGTTTGGAGCTTCAAATGCTGGCATGCTATACTACGATCGACTATAATGGCTACACCGCCAGATGGTACGACAGGATCCTCCCGGTCTTTTCAGGAAATAATATATTGTCGTAGGAAGTCCTTGTGCTTAGGAGTTAAGTGCGTTTCTTGCACACATAGCACTTTCGCATTAAACTTACACAGAAGTTCTTGGACGTCATCTAAATTTCTAAGTATTCCCCTTACGTTCCACTGTATGATGTTGTCCGTAGTGGAAAAAAAGAAGGGAAAAGTGCTGTGTGCAAAGAAGACGGGGATTAACTCATTTTACAGGGCCTTTGTCAGGCCCTGTAATCGGCGTTCTGTCCTTTTTGGGGCGGTCGAGCGAAGCTCGCCGCTCCTTCGGCGCTTCCTGCGCCGTTTGGCTTGAACTGGTGTCCATAGCCTCTTGCGAAGCACCGGACACCCGCTCTAAAGAGCGATCTGTGCGTCGCTTAGACTTCGCCTCGGTCGACGAAGTCTTTGTCCCTACCGAGCTGGGGGTCGATGGAGCCCCCTTGGCCTCGCGATTGCCCTGGCTGCCGCCAGAGCTTGTCGAGGTAGCTGGTGTGGACAGGCTGAATTTGGGCAGGGCAGCGCTAGCTGCTCCCGCCGTAGGGGCTTGTGGCATTGGCCTCGGCACGCTAGGCGAGGTCCGGGCAAATGCCAAGGGCCTTTGTGGTGCCGCCCCTCGTTGCACCACTTCGGCGAAAGGTGTTTTTAGTGCCAATCATGACGAGATCCATTGTCTTGCTTCCCTAAATGTGATAATTTCCTTAACTTTTATAGTTATTATTTCTTTTTCTTTTTTCCAGGCTGTGCACGCTCTGAAGTATATGGGGTGGCTACCTTCGCAGTTAGCACAGAGGACCTCATCATGACTACATTCATCAGCACTGTGGCCGGTTGTGCCATACTTAGCACAGATCAGCTGCCCTCCGCAGCTCTGGGATGCATGACCAAATCGCTGGCATTTGAAACAACGCCTCGGGTTAGGAATGAAGGGTCGGACATGGAGTTTTATATAGCCAGTTTCGAGAGTCTCAGGTAAAGTGGTTGAGTTGAAGGTGAGTATTAAGTGCTTTGTTGCTATTTCGTTGTTGTTGCGTCTGATTATGATGCGCTGGACATGTATTACACCTTGGTCCTTCCATCCATCAAGAAGCTCTTCTTCACTCAGTGTCATCAAATCTTCGTCCGATACCACGCCCTTCACTGTATTCATTGTACGGTGTGCACTCACAGAGACGGGGATGTTACCAAAGGCTACGGGGTGCGAGAGTTTATTGTACTGTTCCTTGTCTTGTAATTCGAGAAGCAGATCTCCACTTGCCATCTTCGTGGCCTTATAACCGGTTCCAATGGTCTCTCTCAAGCACTTGGCCAAAAGAAAGGGTGAGATTGCTCTAGCTTTTGTAGATTGTTCGCAGTGGAGGACATGGTATTTTGGGAAAGTTTCTCTGTTTTTCGACCAAAGTAGTGAAGTTGCGTCGGTGCGTACCCTTTTCGAGGAACAATCAGTTAGAGAGGGGGTCGAGGATTCCATGAAAAAATGTGGATTTTTCGGTAACGGCGCCTACAACCCACCACGGAGTCCAACAAGGGGACGTGGCAGAGCATGTGGGCATGTCTGCGCAACGCCAGCAGTACGCAGTTACTATAACCCAATATGGTTTACCCTAGTTTGGATAGCCACACAAGGTTAACCCTTGCCGCCAGGAAAAATGGGAAGTAAAATGAAGTGAGGAGAAGACAGGAAAGATGTAAAGTGAGATCAAAAGACGAAGATATAGGGAGAGAGAGATAGGAAAAGGCGACTGCCGATTTCCCCTGGGTGGGTCAGCCTAGAGGTGCCGTCTACGTGAAGCCGGGGCCAAAGGGGTGTGTTGCCTCTGCCGGGGGGCCTTAAAGGTCCAATCACCCAGCGTCGGCTCAACCCCCAGGATCCCCTTTTCCCCGGACACGGCAAAGCCACGCACGGCTAGGCGTGGGAGGGAGTAGAAACTCCCCCGTTAGCTCGGGTCCGTGGTGTCGCTACACACCAAACGCCTACTTGCGCAGGCGCCCCAGCGGGGGAGAAATTTAGTTTGTTTTTGTTTGATAGCTCACAAAAAAAATGTAGATAATGCAGAAGTTACATAAGGGTACATGTGGATTTCCTGTCAATGTGCCAAAGAAAAAAAAAGTATGTTGAAAACTGTGAGGACCCGAGTGCGATATTTTTTTAAAGATCAAGAAATTCTCTATCGTGTCACAGCCAAATTCCAAAATCGAATTTTTTTTTTCACCAAAAGCAAGTCTCACCCTACCTTCACAGAACAATCATTAACAAAATAATTTACATGTATTGCTACCTATACATTCTCACTATGCATACACTGGCAACAAATGAGTGTAGGTTGACGAGTCACGTTCTTGTAGAAGCCAGTCGAGTGCCACAGTTACTGCAACTAGCCGGTGCGAGCAAAACACGATTTCAGGAATAGCCATCGTCTCTGCATATCCTCTTGTACAGATGCATTCAACAAGCGCTGCATAGGAACGCATTGCATGCGTTGCTTAGCAACATCCCCTTTGTGCTCAAGCCTTAATGGCCTTTTCCTGTCAGTTTCACTAATCTACGTCGTGTTGTGATCTCCACATCATGTGGAATTGCAATCTACTCCAGGTTTGTCAACAAGATTTACTTTCAAAATTGAAAGGTGCCCTATAAGAAGTCCTGTTTCTGTTGCCATGGCAAGCTCAGTGATGGAGCACATGAAAACATGCAGGCTGAGCTCACTAGCCTTGCAGGTGAAAATTTATCGTTGACACTTTTGTAACATTAAAAAAAAAGAGTCTGGATTCTTTCTTCGTGATACTGAGCAGTAGACACCACATCAGAAGGAAAGACAATATTGTGCCTTTTTTTTTTGGACCTGCTTGTATGCAGGACCAATAATGACAGTGGGTAAACAAATATCTGCCTTTATTAATAATGGCTGCATTCTGTTAAAGTAAGCAATTTTCACTATCATACATAGCAAATGTCAAACTGCTTATTGGTGACTGATAAAAAAAGTTTCATAACCTATCTATTTCCGAACGAAACATGGCTTCGATAAAGTCTTAGCACTTCAGTGCAAAGGAATTTTGTGAAGATTTCGCTTTTGCAAGCCACGATATAGTGTCAATGTTTTCAACCAACCACCTCGCTATTGCGCATCCTTCAAGTAGATATGGGCCATGTCTGAAACTTGTAATTGTAACATGCTCACAATATCTAAGAATCTTCTTGAGATACAAGCTGAACACTAGATAAAAATTAATGTTAAACCAGTATTGCAGTAACATGACCACTAATACTGGCTCTATGATCCTATTTTGAAGATGTAAAAACAGGGGCCAAACACTCACCAATAGATGCATTGCAATCACTGACCCCAGAGCTAGGAAACAAGCAGGTAGCTTCAACATCCATGTCTGCATAGAAAAATCCAATAGATAAAAGAACAGTGTACTCCGGGTGTCAAAATGAAAGAAACACTTGACCCTCTCACATCATGGTAATGGCTATACCTCAATACCTCAACTAGTGCCGGTTATGCAAGCAGCTAACATTTTTACTTATCTAAATCACGAACATCTTCAACCATTTCTACAGGAAGCCCAGTGCCTGCACAAACAGCAAATTTAGAGACCAATGTATTACTGAATGGGCGTGTGCAGTGACAAAAAAGCATTACCTGCATCCAATGAGGAAGGCAACATGAACTCTGCAATCACTTGCCCTTCCTGTCTCTCAGCCGTGGCTGCAGCAACCTCTAAAAAAAAAGAATAAAGGAAAAAAAAGTATATATAATATCTTCTTGCCGAAATACACCATAACTGATCTCTATATTTTATTATTGTACAGAAACCTTGTAAAACAGTGTCAACAAATTCATCAGGCTTGTCATTCACAGCTTCCGAGAAATTTCATTTTGGGGTCTCTTGATTGCAATAGCATAATCACGAGGTGCACTACAATGGAGCACTCTGGATTGATTTGGCCACCCAGTACTCTAACATGCAGCTAAATCAAGGTGTGCATTTTGCCTTCATGAAAATGTAGCCACCATACCTAGAAATTGAACCTGCATGGCCACAGTAGTCTGCCACTATAATGACAAATTACCATTACAATACGATCGTAGCACAGGACGTGAATGCTTCATTACATACTGTTGAGCGATTCAATCTTCAATGCCATTCGATACCATAACACGTGAACAATGTTATGAGGCACAACCAGCTTTTCTGTGTGGAACTATAGTTCAACAGAACAACAGCATCACAGCAGAGCCTTGAAGATGTCCAGTTGCAGTTGGCAATGTTGAATACATATAATAGCACCATATTGGACGTAAAGTATGTGAACCAAGCGCATCTTAAGAATCAAAATAAACCATTGCTGCTGATTCGTCTCCCATCTAGGCTAACTTGATCGATTACTTCTTTCCCTAACAAGAGAGTAATTACCAAATGCCAATTCGCAATTGAAGAAGCAGACTAGAAAGTTGATGTAGCTCTTTTGCTGCTATGTAATTAAGTCATGGGTGGAAGCATCCAATGAGGCTTTAACATAAAATTGTAGTGCTCGGCACAAACCAGTGACAAGCAACAGCCAAACCTATCACTTGTTATTGTTGTTTGAATATCTCGTGCAGGTGGTCACAGTTCAGCTTGCCTTGACATTACTCTTGATACTCTGGTTGAAAGAGATGTTTTTAGGGCTGAAACACTGCTGAGTGGCATTTTTTATAAAAACCTTCTTTTTTAACAATGTTACTAGAATATTTTCGACAACTTCAATCAAAGCTTTGCCATGTTATGCTTACAGAACATAGCACAGCACCATGTTGGCTTTCTTGGTATGAACAAAATGTACCATCATTTGATGATTACAGCTGGTAAATTATGAGGAGGCTCACAACTTAATAAAAGTTCATTAGTCAAACAAAACAAATAATGGTCATCTATGGTGAATTACAACTCAAACATACAGATGTCTCGGCTAACAAAGAATTCTTGAAGTACCGCAATAGAATCAGCTTTTCAACAGTGACACTTTCTTTTAAAGAAATTGGTGTTGCAGTGTTCACTTTTTTTATGCTTAATGTAAAAAAGCAGAAGCTGGTACAGTGACTCGGTAGTTACGGTGCTGGGCTGCTGACCCGAAAGATGCGGGTTTGGTCTCTGATGCAGTGGCCGCATAACCATAGAGGCGAAATGCTACAGGCCTGTGAACTATGTGATGTCGGGGCACATTATACAGCCTCAGATAATAAATATATCTAGAGAGCTCCACTGCATTTCTCAAAACCCAGGTCACTTTGCGATCTTAGACACCATAAACCAACAAAGCATGTAGAAATGGTGGATGAATTTCTAAAGCATGCTCCATTGACTACCTGAATGCGAAACATTACCTTGAACTGAAATAGCAATTACATTAAACACCTCATCATACAGTGAGCATGCTCTTGCACACATTGTCAGCTTACAAACTGGTGTATGATGATATATGGTGTTTTTTGGCGCAAGGGCCATTTGATGGCCAAAGAGCACCAGTTCATGGGACAAGAGGTGTGGACAATGATTGTGATTGGCGGCTGTATAAGGGCCATAAAATTCCTCACGGTAATGCAGGTAAAGACATACAATTAGTAAAATCATGACCATGCCGTGAAAGGTGTGTGTGGTGCGAATAGATGACAAAAGTTAATGATAATAAAAAGGATGGTGGACATGTATGGCATTAGCACAAGTGCCTCACTCGTTCATACCCTTGCGTCCAAGGGCTGGGAGGCAAGTGCTTTATTGTGTAGCCACCACAGCGAAAACCTCTCTGGAGAGGTCGTGCTACGGTATGCCCGGGTATATGACATGAAAGCTATGATTTTCTTTTAAAAACGCTAACAATGATTTATGACTAAAAAGCGGTTCCCTAACGACGAACAATGCAGGGTGTAAAGGTATATGTTGTCGGTAGGGTGATAAAAAATGTTGTTTTCTTAGAGTGTCCAATTGTTTGCATTGAATTAAAATGTGAAGAACTGTTAGTGCTTCACCACATCTGTCACACAATGGTGGATCGCCACCGGACAAAAGATATGAGTGTGCCGTGTATGTGTGTCCTATCCTGAGCCTCGTTAATGTGTGACGTCATTTTGATACTGGTGGCCAATGGCCAAGGTGTGGCTTGATAACGTGTACCGTAATTACTCGAATCTAACGCGCACCTTTTTTCCGGTTAAGCGAGTTCAAAAATCGCATGCGCGTTAGAATCGAGTACGAACAAAAAATTACGGTCAATCTATTGTCATCGCAAATCCAAAATGGCCGCCCCCTACGTGCGTCGGCATGGTGCGTTGGCTATTTCTGCCTATGTGTTTACCATCTGCGGCACTTCGTACGTGTGCTGAGGAGTTCGTCATCTAGTAGTGCATTAGCATCGACGACGTGAAAGGCCCGACTCCAAAAACTCAAGTGCACCACGATGCCGCTTTTAAAAGAAAAGTCATCGCGTGTGCAGAAACGGACGGAAGTCGGGCCGCATCGCGGTCGTTCCCGAAACGTGCGTGCGGGACCGGCGGAAACAAAAGCAGAAGATTGTCGACAGCAAAGCTTCACGCAAAGGCTTCAGTGAACCACAGCAGGGTCGGTTTCCGCAAATTAAAGAGCTGCTCCGTGAGTATGTGCTTGAGGAGCGAGCGGCACAGCGGCCCGTGACGACAGAACTGCTCCAAGTGCGGGCTATGCAATTAGTCTTAGAAAAAAGTCTAATGCGGAGCCAGTTTAAAGCGAGCAGGTGCTGGCTAATTAACTATATGAAGAGGAAAGGCTCTTCATATAGGCAAATCTGGAATGCCGATCAGACGCCTCTTTACTTCGACATGCCTGGCACCACAACTGTCGAGAAGAAGGGGGCAAAGCAAGTTCGCGTGCTGACATCGGTCCACGGTAAAACTACAGTGACGGCAATGCTCTGTTACACGTCAGATGGGCACAAGCTTCGCCCGTACCTCATATTTAGATGGAAGACAATCCCGAAAGGAATCGTTTTTTCGAGTGGTGTGATCGTGCGGGCCAGCGAAAAAAAATGGGTGCGCGTTGCAATCGATGTCTTACGTTTTTTTATTTTTTTCGCGGTGGAAATCGGGTGCGCGTTACAATCGAGGGCGCGGTAGAATCGAGTAAATACGGTAGTTTGTTTTGTGTGTGTGTATCCCACTTGCTCTGCCAGTAGTCTCTGAGCTTTCGTTTGAGAGACGGCTTAAGATCAAGGGCCGGGATTGATATGGGTGTAATGGCGGTGCTTTCGTGGACGGATGCAGCAAGCTGATCCACCATCATGTTGCCTTGAATCTCATGGTGCCCTGGCACCCAGCACACAACAACATGTTGGTTGAGTGTGTAGAGTGTGCATAAAATGGAGTAAAGTGAAACGAGGACAAGGTTTTTTTTGTTTTTTAAGACTGTGCAGAGCCGTTACCACACTGAGGGAGTCCGCATGAATTACTGCTTTTTGTATTTGTAATTGTTTGATGTGTTTAGCTGCCACAAGTATCGCGTAAGCTTCCGCTGTGAAGATACTTGTGCCTGGATGTAGAGGGCCAGCGTCCGAAAAGGAAGGGCCAACAGCAGCGTAGGACACAGAGGAGTTAGACTTGGAGGCATCTGTAAAGAACTCAGGATGTGTGTTTGTGTTGAAGTTCCAGGAAGTATGTTCGGATATGGGCAATAGGTGCATGTTTTGTAACTTCTAGGAAAGACACATCACAGTCTATAGTCTGCCACTGCCACGGTGGCAGGTATGCTACAGGAGCCATTAAACTGTGTTTGAGTGACACTCCAGTGTCCTCAGCTAGACCTTTCAGGGGAACTGAGAAGGGCTGCCTTATTGAAGGCCTGTTTTTAAACAGAATGGAGCTCGACAAATCATTAATAGTAGAGTATGAGGGGTGTCATTTGTCTCCTTTCACCTTAAGGAAATAAACAAAGGACATGTAAGTTCTTTGCAGATGAAGCGACCACTCATTTGACTCAACGTAAAGGCTTTCTACGGGGCTGGCGCGAAAAGCACCCGTAGAAAGGGGGATGCCCGAATGGTGCACGAGATCCAGCATCTTCAAAGCACTTTGAGTCGCAGACTGATAAACAATGGCCCCATAATCTAAGCGGGTGCGAATGAGGCTTCTATACAGGCTCATGAGGCATTTCCTGTAACTACCCCACGTAGTAGGTGAAAACACTTTTATAACATTCATGGCTTTTAAACATTTTGTTTTTAAATACTTTATGTGTGGTACGAAGGTCAACTTGTTGTCCAAGATTAAGCTTAAGAATTTATGCTCCGCATTCACAGACAGACGTTGGCCGTTCAGTTCAATGTCGGGTTTTGAGTGCATGCCTCTCTTTCGGGAGAACAAGACACA